ATATGTGCAACAAGATGTATGATATATGTATGCATATATAAAGTTTGAACATGTTCAGTCAAGGCATGTCAGTGTTACAGCTCCAGAACCACATTCAACAAATAAAATGGCTGCCAGTCGGCCATTTGAAAACTGATCTGAAAAACAAAATAATGTGCATAAAGGTCTCATAATGTCCTATGTTATGTACCAAGTTTGAGCAAAATGCATTCATACACGAGTGATATCTGGTTCTGGACTGACAGAAATGCACATTTTAATGATAAATTTTTAACATTAAAATTGCCCAAATGGGTCCATACAGTTTGAATGTGATCAGACGAGGCATGTCGAGATACAGGACCAGACAGACGTCATCTTTCTCAGACTGCATCCAAACATAGACTAAATATTATCTATTCTCTACCTCAGTTCTGAAGTTTCTCTCTACTTCTTCCAGTTCTTTTCTCAAGTCTTGTAATTGTTTCCTAGAAAAAGCAAGAAAGCATACCACTATACTGATCAAATATGATTTGTTTGTGTCTTGGCAAAGAAAAATGCAGCCAAACTTTTAAGAGAACTAACACCTTGAACAGCCATTCTTTGCACACACTGGACTGCAAAATATATTACTGCCATTATACCAGTTTGTATGGGTATATATGAAGCCTGCAGAATATTACTGCCATTACACGTGTTTGTATGGGTATATATGAAGCCTGGAGAATATTACTGCCATTACACGTGTTTGTATGGGTACATATGAAGCCTGGAGAATATTACTGCCATTACACATGTTTGTATGGGTATATATGAAGCCTGCAGAATATTACTGCCATTACACGTGTTTGTATGGGTATATATGAAGCCTGCAGAATATTACTGCCATTACACGTGTTTGTATGGGTATATATGAAGCCTGCAGAATATTACTGCCATTACACGTGTTTGTATGGGTATATATGAAGCCTGGAGAATATTACTGCCAATACATGTGTTTGTATGGGTATATATGAAGCCTGGAGAATATTACTGCCATTACACATGTTTGTATGGGTATATATGAAGCCTGGAGAATATTACTGCCATTACACGTGTTTGTATGGGTACATATGAAGCCTGGAGAATATTACTGCCGTTACACGTGTTTGTATGGGTACATATGAAGCCTGCAGAATATTACTGCCATTACACGTGTTTGTATGGGTATATATGAAGCCTGCAGAATATTACTGCCATTACACGTGTTTGTATGGGTATATACATGTATGAAGCCTGGAGAATATTACCGATACTGCTAGCTTACCTGTAGTTGATAGCATCTTCTGTAGAAGCTGCAGCTTTCTTTTCCACATTTTCCAGTTTAGTCTGGCTGTTTATTTTGAGCGCTTCCTCAATACCAATTTGTCTGCAATATACATCAACACAAGAATAGTGCATATTATTTGG